TCGTATAACCTACTACCGGAAGAACTTAAAGTACTCCAAGGCCCTATATTTGAAGCAGATTGACTTGCTGGCTTTTGGACAATTTTTTTATAGTTATAAGGAATATTTTAATTGGCGACATTGATACTATTAATTTAATTTTACATTGACGTTTTCTTAATTATTTGACATTAATACTATTGAATCCTGTAATTTTTGCACGTCTGCGAGCGGACTAAACACATGATCCTATTTAATATTGTCACCCTGTATTACTGTGTTTTTGGCAAATAAACGTTTTGAATTTGAATATGGAAGAGAAGTTACCGTGGCGATGACGAGGCACAGGTTGTTGAGCAGTAGCGAGTCCATCCAGGGGAAGTCGGCCACCCAGCCGCACGCGATACGCCCGATCGTGTTCGTGATGCCGATGATCGACAGCAGGAACGACGCTTTGCCCGCCTCCACCCCCTGGGAATATAATATAATAGTATACAGTGCGAGTCATATTACAGTGTACATATGAAAATAGATGAAACTAGACCTATTTTTATCGACAAAAAAGAGGTCGAAAATTTTTTGAGATTTTTTTAAATTTTTTATAGAATTTTTTTTCTTCCAATTACTTATTGTAAAAAAAAAACGTAATAACTTTTAAACTAAGCGGTACATTTTGATAAAATAAAAACAGTAATAATGTTAAATAACAGGCAATACTAAAAAAATACATAAAATACACAAAAAGGCTAACAAACATAAAAAAATGACACTTTTTGAAAAAAATCCGCTTACAAATTCGTGTTTTTTAGTAGTATCACCTAGTTAGTAGTAACACCCAGACCCGTCACAGAAATTAAAATTCATCATTTCAATTTCTGTCCGGCCCGAACCCGGTACCTCTCGGTATAATAATAATAATAATACGGGGAATAAGTATAATACGTGGCTTGATAATGCTGATATTGTGAATGTTTGTTCAAAGAATAAGTTACTTCTTTGCCAAGAGATATAATACTGAAATGTAGCAGATTGAATAGTTCTCTAGAAACACAACAACATTGGTTTTATGTTGTAGTCAACAGACTGAATAAAATTTTTGATAAATAGCTCGATAAATCTTTAATAGAAAACCTTTAAGTAGGTAGTGTGTAGTATTTTTAATATAAACAAGCCACAGACAACGGTGAAATTAACAGTACAATTCACGATACGTCCATAGATAAACAACTTACGTTAGCACGACAGCTATAGCTAATAGATTAACGCTAGCGTCTCTTTTCTGTATTGCTTATTGATAGGTCTCAAAACATATTTGGAACTTAAAACCATAGATGAGGCTGTGATATATGGTTTCCGTGGCGCAACAGCCACCATAGACAAGACTCACGTTCATCATGGCGGCGTCGACAATGTACACGAAAGGCACGTAGAGGCCGGCCATGCCGAAGATGTTGGACACGCCGGGTCGCGGAGTAGACTCACGTCAGCAACCATAGACCACAGCCTCACAGCTACCATAGACAAGACTCACGTTCATCATGGCGGCGTCCACGATGTACACGAAGGGCACGTAGAGGCCGGCCATGCCGAAGATGTTGGACACGCCGATGAGCATGAACGCCGGGTTTCAA